AAGGAGACTCCAGCTCCTGCAAGAGTAGTTAAATCCATTACACTGAATGCAGCCTAGAACTGGAAAAAGCCTTCAGGTTTAATGTAATGGTGTCTGAGCCCATTTTGCCTTCACATTTTTTCCTCTTAACAGATATGCTGACAAAAGAACCTCCCTGGTGTGATGGCTCCAACTGCTATGAATGTGCTGCCAAATTTGGAGTCACGACAAGAAAGCATCACTGGTAATATGAGCTCCCTTGCTGTGCTTACAAGGAAATGGATTCCTCCCCAAACATAGCTGGGATTGCTCCTAATAGCTTAGGAAATCTCCATGTAGGTGTATAACCACTAATCCAGCTCAAATATTCCATCCTGACTTAGATCAGAAACTTGTTGTCTAACTGAAATCATATTTTAAGCAGCTTGTGCATTTAATATTCTGATTAGTTGTAAATGAGAAATCATGTCCAAGTTTCAGTAGTGAAACAGGATTTAAATACCCAATTGTCAGAGAGAGAGTGTGAAGCACTTCACTCCCCAGAGGAGCAACAATGTATTTTATTAAGAGAGTGAGTTAATAGAAGTTCAGTGGTAAATGTGGCAGTGGTTTATCAGGACTTGATTATTTCCTGCATAGAGGTTGGGGTCAGGGAGAGCCTCCTGTGTAGACAGGAGGTTCAGAGAGAGCAGCCACTGGGGCTGTGCCTTACACAGCAAAGACAGGAGGGAGCACACCAGCCCCACCACAGTGGTAGGATGACCTCCTCCAAAAGAGGTGGCAAATAATTACTGCCAATTATTATTGGGCAGGTGTTGACAGCTCAGGTTTGGGATCCTGTTTGCAGTGTGGAAATGGCTGAAGATGAACATGAGCTGCTCTTGTGTAGATAGGAGTTGCCTTTTTAAAATAGCCTGAACTTGTACAAAACATGCTGCTTGGAAGGGTGTTAAGCTAAGATTTTTCTTAGCTCAGAGAAGTGCCTCAGTTGAAGCAGTACCAGGTGATTGACTAGCAGAGAACCAGCACGTGCTGTTGGCATTAGTCAGTTATTCCAAAATCTCAGAAAGATACAAGACAAATATCAGAAGATACAAGATAATCACAGCTTTTCAACTGCTAATGTGTATTTAGTGATGCTATCATAGATAAAGAATGTCAGACAGTAACATCCTGCTGTTCACTAGGAGGGAATTCACTTTTCCCCCACCCCTCTTCTGTCAACAGCCGACACTGTGGACGCCTGCTCTGCCATAAGTGCTCAACAAAGGAGATTCCTATCATAAAATTTGATCTGAACAAGCCAGTTCGAGTTTGCAACATCTGCTTTGATGTCCTGACTCTGGGAGGAGTCTCCTAGTATGCTGTGGAAGTAAAGGGATTCCCAGTCAGTGCTCCTGACAGCAGCTCTGCTTACAAGCCCTCTGGATAGGGAAGAGGAGGCTTACACATGTCTTCTGCAATAGACTGAACTAATTAAGGACCCTGTTCTGATATACTCTGGTATAAATGATTTTGTATGACTGTAAATGTATGGGCTGCGATAGACTTCACTAGGAATCAGAGTGGATTGTTCAAACCAAGTGACAAAAGAATTGAGACCCTCTTCTAGTTGCAGTGGGGTATGGAAGCTGAAATTTGTACTGCTTGAATCGGCATGAAACAGGTCTGTCCTCAACATGGTGCTTTGCACTGAGCAACTCTATTAAGTCCTGTGGCTTTCAGGCTGCTTAGTAGAGGTGGTATTAAGTTTCAGGGTAACCAGGTCTCTTTCTTTGCTTTGTCTTAAAGATAAACGTTCCCCTTCTCTAGAGAAGACTTTTTGTGAAGCTAAACTGAGCTGTTGCAACCACTGTTCAAGAAACTCTTCAGACCTGGGGGTAGTTCTAAGTATAGCTCAAGAATTGTGGCCTTACAACAGAAAGCTTTACAACATCTGATGCACAGCAGTCAGAATTGCAGATCCACATCTTGATACCTCCTCAGCAAATGACTCATTAGCTTTAGCATGTTCAAGAGAAGTGCAAGATTGTTTTAGGAAAATGCTCTTGCTCATACCTGCTGGAACTGTCAGTCTTCATTGCACTTTCATATTTATGTTGCTGGTCCTTCCAGTCCATGGCACTTGTACAAATGACCATGAGTTTGCTGAAAGGCCTGAGCATGTGCTAAAGGAGAAACACTAAAAGTGGTGGAGTCTAACTCCCAGTACAGCAATAAATGCTGAAGTGCATTAGGAGTCCCAGGAGGGAGAGAAACACTTTCCTGGGGCTTAAGGGGCCTGGTAACTGCTGTGGGAGAGACAGAAACCCTAGCAAGTGTAGAATGTGCTGCACCTCTAGACACTAAACCTGGGGCCATTTTCAGCTGGGGAGTGGGAGTGTACATGGAGGCTTCCTGTTGGGAGTAAGCTGCAGTATTTTAATCTAGGCTGGTTGTACTCTCTTCAACATGCTGAATCTGTGGAAACCACCACACTGTTCTAGGTCAACAGGAAAGTACTTGGCTGGTAGACCAGCTTGTGATGTGGAGGGTAAAGGCTTCAGTTAGAAAAAATGGGTACTTAAGCAAAACTACATGCCATGTTAAGGCAGTTTTTATTTCAAAAGATAAAGCTAGTATAGACTCAATTCAGCATTCCTCATCTTTACTCCATGAATTGGTGTGCATTTTTTAATGACTGTTATCTCCAGTGAACTGTATGGACAGGTGATGATGTGTTGCCCTGGTTGGAGCAGTGACTTCAGGAGTAAGATGAGAAGATGAACCAGGCTGCTCCTGTTACAGGAAACTTTCTCAGTTTTTCTCAAGCTTGTACAAGGAGAGGATAGGAGAGGGTGCAATTGCTGACATTTGTATGATTAATTTCACATCAAGTCTCACTTGATCTGCACTTTGATCTTCCAAAATGCCTGTATTGTAACTGGAATCACCCCTGTACCACTAGGGAAGAACAATGGATGAAATACAAACTTGCCTCACTGTTTGATGTCTGCTGCTGACATGTTCCAACAGAATGCTCTGGGTAACACAGCTGGTCTCTAACACAGTTCCTAATGCAAATGATGCACCTCTGGCATAATATTGTAGGTGAATGAGGGAAAATAGTGCTGTCAGTTAGTGGTAGCTGCAGTAATTGTTGGTGTCAGTTAACTACAGTCTACAGTTTGGGGGTTTTTAAACAAAAGAGATGATGGAAAACATTGTACTTCTGATATTTCAGGGTGTCACTGGTTGCAGTTCTCTAGCAGTGAAAGAATGATGGAGAGAAAGTGCATTTGGTGAAAGAAGTCTTGACTGTAATCCCATGGTAACATGTTGTTTTCCTTCTTGGTTTGGAGCTGAAGTGATGTGGAGGGGTAAGAGTGTGCTCAGAATGCTGAAAGACAGTGCAGAGGAGGGGTTTTCCTGTGGGCTTCAGCCTGAAGGGAAAACTGCCCAGCATGTAATTGCCAAAGCATTTAAACATCACTGTTTCAGTAGCTTCTCTGATGGAAGGGCAAGGGAACAGGAAAGCAATGATGGAAAATGTGGATCTGGTGAAAATTCAGATTAACTGAAGGGCAAGTTAAAGCTGGGTAGTTGCTTTCTAAAAAACAGGATATTGATCATAACTGTAAAACTGTGGGAAGGATCTGGGAAACCACTGCAGTGCTCCTGGTTTGCTGTTTACAGCCAGCACTGTCCCAGCTTACTTACTGAAGTCTGTAAGTAGGTTATTGTGAAATGTACAGCCTGAGGTGTTTGTTTAATTTAAAGCAACTCAATTCAGCAAATTTGATCCTTTTAAAGTGCCTTTGAGATAGTTTCCTTCCAGCCAACTCTAAATAGCTTTCTGCCAGAGCTAAAAGGGAAAGCTCACACCTTGAACCAAAACCCATGTCAGTTCTTCTCTCGTTCAGCTGAGGAGTTGACCCCTCCAGACAGCTGGTGGGGCTCAGTCCCTCACACACTCTGCCTGGTGTTGGTCTGAGCTCTCAGACCACTGAGATTCTTTGGGAGTTTTGCTGGCAATGCTCCACTACAGGGTACAAATGTGAATGAGGCACTTGGTAATGTAGTGGTGGTCAACACATTTCTAACTCTAAACAACTGCTCTTCCCTTTTTGTAGCATAATACAGTTGTTACCAAACCCCCACCCCTCTTAGCCCTGCTCTTAGTGGTAAATACTAACTCAAGTCTGCCAAGCATTGAACAAAAGCTTAGATGGGAACTCAGCTTGTGTCCCTGAAGTGCTGCTGTCACACGGGGCTCCAGGCACTTCAGCAGGGTTGCATGGGGAGTCATGGGTGGTTCATGCTGTAGCTTTTTGTTCTGAGACTGGATTCCTTTTGCCTGCAGTCACCCAGCACTCTTACACAAGCAAACACCATGGTCCAGCACTCTTACACAAGCACAAACCATGGTCTGGCTGGAATGTTCTGTCTGTGAGAGGTGCAGTCACTGTTTCACACCACTGAGTGGAGTGAGAATGTCGCTGTTGGAGGCACTAACAGAGCAGAGTAAGTTGCTGGCTAAAGCTGACAGATGCCTTAATGACTTCCCGTGCTGGAGATAACAACAGCTTGTCCAACTGCTCTAGTAGTGCTTATAAACTAACATGTAACAGTATGGGAGGCCAAGGCTGGATGGTTTTGTAGATCAAATGTTAATAGCAAGTCCTCTTTTTTCTGTAACCAGCAGAGGTGGTCACTGCAGCAAACTCATCTCTAGAAAAATCAAAGCTTGTGTGAGTGACAGAAATAACTGAACCTTCTAATACCCTCTGTGAAATAGAAAAGGAAGTCTTAGAACAATGGCATTTTATCTGCAATGTTTGTCTGGAGTTGTTGTAAAAATGTATTTTTTCCAATATGCATTCTTCGTTGTGTAATGATTCTACTTGTAATAAAATGCAGAACTAGATGATGCTTTGTGAGGTGGAACCTTGCTAAGGAAGTGTCTGCTCCTGTAGAGACAGCTGCCCCTCTACAAGCTTATCCTGACAAACCACGAAGAAAACCAGGGATCCAACATCCAATTGGGCACAACAGCTTTATTCTGTGTTCTGAAATTAGTCCAGGTATTCATTTTCATGTTGTGGAACTGCTCCAACTGTTCTTTTGGCTGTCAAGGTCTGGTGTTCTAGTTTGTACATGTAGTCATCTTGAATGCCTTATCCTAGACTTACCTATAATCAGTTTTGTGAAACGAAGCCCAGCTCCCCACGGGCCAGAGCTGCTTCATGGAGTTCATCAGCTCAAGTTCCCAGCCCTGGGAGCACTCAGAGCTGGGTGTGGAGGCAGCTCAGCCCCTGGAGAGCACTGAGCTGCTGCAGCTTCACTTCAGGAAAAGGAAAACTTCAGTGCAATAGCAAACCCAGCCAAGACTGCTGGGTGAGATTGTGATGCATTATTAGTCTTTTATTAATAAAACTTACTGAAGTACAGATGAATGGTGAGCTTTATTAGAGCACTGTCTGTGGTGACTGGAGCCCTCTGTAGCTGTCACTGTTCCCTTTTCCACCATGGGAGAATCCAGCTGAGCTGCTCAGCTGGAGACACCTGGAGCACTTCACTCACTGAGGGTGTCTCCCTGTTTGCTTTAATAGATGACTTATTCCTAGTGCAAGGCTCTTCCTCCCCAGAGCTTCCAAACCCTGAACTGAGGAATAAGCTAGGAACTGGTTTTCAACCAACTTTAACTTAAACCAGCACCTCCCTGCCCTGCCTTTTGGCAGCAGTTTATTTGATTTTTATGCAGCTCTTACAATCAAAACCATCCCCTCAGCACTATTTGCATAGTGATTGAGTGTTCCAGCAAGATGAAACTTGCTTAGAAGGTCAAGCTGGTCCCACCTTCTCTGGGACTGGTTTGCCCTCACAAACTACTTCTTACAGCATTTAATAGTCTGGAATTTGCTGCAACTTTTAAATAGCTTTAAAAACCTCTTTTAAATGTACTTGCCAATCATTTGCAGGGATGGTTTCACTACTTTAAATGCAATTTCTTTTTAAAGTGGTGATGTCTTTTTAAATGTGGCAAAGGGCACAGTTGTGGAGGCAGTGAAGTGCTGCTCTGCAGCTCTTTGCTGCACCTTTTACACAGCTTGATCTTCAGCACTGAGTGAAATGAGTTTTCATTCCTCACTCCACCCCCAGAGATGGCTCAAGCCCAGGGCTGAGGTTTGGTTCTGCCACACATCCTGCTCTGCTCTCCCCTGAGTGCCACAGGCTGGCACAGCAGGGCAATGCCTGCAAGGGCTGCTCTTCAGGATGAAGATAGGTAAAAAACCCCAAAAACAAAACCACAGCCCCAGTGTTCCAAGCATGTGCAGGTTTATGTTTGTGTGGCTCCATCCCTGGCAGCTGGAGCTTCCTCTGAGTTTTAGCAGTGGGAAGTGCTGTAATGTGTCCTGCTGCAAGGGAGTGAATGGTGCTTCCTGTAAACTTGTTAATGAACTAACTCATCACTTACCTTTTGGGCCTCTCTTCAGAGGTGGGGGTAGCTAAAAATCAGTTTATAAACATTTTCCAGCTGCTTACACATAGGTGGCAGCTGCCTTAAGAACAAGAACTGACCACAACCTGTGCCACCACTGGACCCTGATCTGCATGTCTCTCTCAAAGCTCAGCTCCACCTAAACTGATTTTAACAGCAGATTCCCTAAAACCAGCAAATGCTTCCCTGCAGCTTGAGGTTTGTAGTGCAGGTATTGCTTCCTCCCTTTTAGCCCCACTCAGAGAGGGTAATGACCTGCCCTGCATGTCTGGGAGTCACTCACAGTGCTGAATTCTGCCAGCTGTGACACAATAAATATGGATTTTAAAAGTGCAGGGTCTTGTAAGGGCACATCCAGCTCAGGTTATAGTCTGACAGGCACAGACCAGATGGGAGGAAGACATACCAGAATGGAAACAGGAGCAGATTACAGTAGGATGGTTCTGTTGCCACCCAGGCAACAAAAAGAAAGCTATTTAAAACTACTCCTTCCTGATCAGAACAGTTTGAAAGTGGTGAATCACAGAGCAGACAGTGAGGGTAATGTCAAACAATCCTCACAGGTGGCTTCAATATCTTGGCACAGTATCTAATGCAAACACAGTGAGGAAATGCAGCTCTGGCCTTTGCCTTCTCTATTCCAAGAATTTGATAAAGCTTGTGTGTAACTAAACTGTGCAAGTTCCTGATACTGTGGACCTTAATTGCAGAAGAAATTCAGGGCTCTCCCTGTTACCTTTAAACTCCTGGGAGTCAGTCAGGTGCCTGGGAAGGAGCATCAGCAGTGCCTGCAGCAGGGCCTGTGGCAGTGATGCTGCAGCAGTTCTGTGCTCACTGATTTCACTGCCTTAAACCACAGCACTGTCCCACCTCTGTGCACACAAACACCCAGTCCCTGACTGCACAAGGAGCAGTTCTAAAACACAATTCAGGCTGTGCATCTTACAGTTTGTTCACAGGTGCAGAAATACTTCCCATAGAAATAAAGCAAGCATCCTGTTACTTGATTTTTTAGCCACTGAGCTGGCTGAAGTGTTTGCTCCATCTCCATATGTAGAAAAGCATCACAAACCCCATGAGATTGTTGCTGCTCCCTTTGCAGGGCCGGGTGGAAGGGATGGAGCTGGAGCTGCCCAGCCCCGGTGCAAGGTTCCAGTGCAGGGCTCTCCCTGCCTGGCTCAGCCCGTGGGCAGCACGCACTGCTCGGCCAGGGGATGGCAGCCCTCGTACAGCTGCAGCCGAGGGTCATCCAGGTCGCCTCTGTCGCGGTGCTGGGAGGAGCCAGGCTGGCCCCAGGGCGGCCCCGAGCTCCTGACACACACGCAGAGAGTGCCCTGCGAGCCGGGGCGGTGCAGCCTCCGCGGGACCCCGGCCCAGGCTCTGGGCACGCCCCCGCTGCGAATGGAAAAGGAAAATCTGTCACAATTCAAACCCGGGAAAATGCTTCCAGTCAACAGAGAATCCTTATGGAAAAACCCGAGATAATCTGAGATAAATAGTTATTCTAAACTAGAACTAACACTGAGGTAGGTTTTGCTTACACAGAATTCACAGAATGACTGGGCTGAAAGAGACTTTAAAGATCATCAAGTCTAACTCATGCTCCAACACCTCAGTTAAACCCTGGCACTGAGTGCCACATCCAGTCTGTTTAAACAGCCACCATCCCACAGCCTTCATCTTTTTATTGGCTGTGCTTCAGAAACCCATGGCCTGGGCCTGGTTTCACCACTGCTGCTGCAGGCTCTACCCTTCTGAGAGTCACCAACTCCTGCATTCCATGCTGCCATTGCTAGAGGAATCACAGCCTGCTGGAGCACAGCAAAATGCCTCTGCTGGAGGTACCTAAATGCTCACAGGTGACCACACATCTTCACAGAATCACAGTGGCTTGGGTTGGAAGGCACCTTAAAGATCATCCAGCCCATCCCCTGCCATGGGACTTCCAACAGACCAGGCTCTCCTCTCTCTGTGCCTTGACTAAACAGTGATTTTGAGAACTGGGGCAGAATTAAAAGCACCTTCCCAGCTAATTCACCACGTCTCTTTATGTCTAAGTGTCTCTCTATGGGCCAAGTCCTGCCTGTTCCCCATCACTGCAGCTTTTAAGCCTCTAACACAAGTGACTGCCACATCACACCTGGTCCCAAGGCTGTCCCCAAGCTCAGTGACACACAGGAGCAGATCCCTGGGGCACACAGAGCTGCTGCTGGGCTGACATGAAGCCCAAGCATTTTGAGTGTGGTCTGTGAAATGATTTCATCTTCAAACAAAACAGTCCCTAAGTTGAGAGACAGCTACTAACAGGAGAGTAGGAAATGATTATTCAAAGCTTAACCTATTTTTTGTGGTTTAAGTGAAAATGTTGTGGTATCAGCCTCTGAGCCAGGCTGTGAAACTGTCTGACAAGCACAGGTTAATGCTGGTATTCCTGAGAGGTGACAGAACCTGTTTGAATCCCAGTCCTGCTGGGATTTCTGTCCTGTTTTGCTGAGAACAGGAGATCACATGCATGTGTGGTAAATTCTTTGATTCCAGGATGACAAAAGAGGCTCAGCCTGGAGCAAAGGGGGCTCAGGGGGGACCTTCTCACTCTCTACAACTCCCTGACAGGAGGGTGGAGCCAGGTGAAGGTCAGGCTGTGCTCACAGGGACAGGGTGAGAGGTAACAGCCTCAAGTTGTGCCAGGGGAGATTTAGGTTGGATACTGGGGAGAATTTCTTCATGGCAAGGGTGGTCAGGCACTGGCACAGCTGCCCAGGGCAGTGGGGGAGGCCCCATCCCTGCAGGGATGGAAAAGCTGTAGATGTGGCACCTGGGGGCACAGGTCAGTGCTGGGGGAATGGCTGGACTGGGGGCTCTCACAGGGCTTTTCCCAGCTGAACAGCTCTGGGAATTCAGGCAGGGACAGAGCCCATCCCTGCTTATTCCAGCCCTGCAGCACCACTGCCAGGCCCCAGAGGTCACCTACCCATGGAGTGAGGTGGCTGCAGGGGCCAGGACATCCTCCCATGCTGCCCCTGCCAGGAGAGGCAGGAACACAGCACAGGGCACCCAAAAAAAGCCTCTGCTCCAGAGGGGACAGGCTCACCTCTCTCTGGAGCACCAGAAGCGAGTGCCTTTAGCAGAGCTCCATTCAGAGTTGCAGGGTGGGAACTGCTGCTGCTTCTGTTCACTTTCTGCTTGCAGTCTGAGAGCTTCCTCAATGGCAGCCTCCACCTCCCTCAGGGCTTCTGTCGGTGCTCCATTTTCATCATAGAATCTGCCCACCAGCTTCCCTGGGAGAGGAGATCAATTAGGACCACAGTGTTTCCAGACCACAGACCTGTTTCCAGGCAAGGGAAATGCATTGTTCTGGTGGGGTTTTATTTTTAATTTGCTATGTAAAAGGAGATGTCACCATGGCCCAATTTTAAAACCAAACTGAGCTTACATCCCTTCAAGCCTTGGATCACACAGCAATTTACCCATATGAATAAACCCATGCAGGACAAGCTTGGGCACACACTCATTACAGAGCTGAAAACCAAAGCCAGTTTCAGCTGCACAACCCAGAAGCCATTCCCCAGAACAGTTTCCCTGCACTGCTGCCCCAACATTCTCCTGGGTGATTTCAGGCTGGCTCCACGCTCTGTGCTCGGCAGAGACAATCCAAGCAGGACAGCAGCCAGGTGGGAAAACAATTTAACTTTCCCTTGGAGGGAAGCAAACCTCAGAGACCTGGCTTGGCTTGGCTGCAGCTGCACACCCACCCCCGTGTGAGCCCACCCCCAGACCTACCCACGGGCTCGTAGTTGTTGCTGTAGAAGCTCAGCCAGCTGTGGATGGAGAGCAGCTCCGCGGGGGACAGCCCTGACACGGAGTCCACCAGCCCCGCCGGGCTGAAATCGCCGCTGGCAAACGCTCGGGTGGCATCTCTGCCTGCGGGGCACGGGGGAGAGCACAGCAGGGGGAGAGCACAGGGTGAGGAGAGCCCAGCCACGGAGTGAATCCCTCAGCCATGGATGAATTCCCCAGCCATGGAGGGAATTCCTCAGCCATGGATGAATTCCCCAGCCATGGAGGGAATTCCTCAGTCATAGAGTGAATATTCCTCAGCCATGGATGAATCCCCCAGCCAAGGAGTGAATCCCCTAGTCAAGGAGTGAATTCCTCAGCCAGGGAGTGAATCCCCCAGCCAAGGAGTGAATTCCTTGGCCATGGACTGAATCCCCCAGCCAAGCACTGACTCCTCCAGCCATGGAGTGAATCCCCTAGCCATAGAGGGAATTCCTCAGCCATGGAGTGAATTCCCCAGTCATAGAGTGAATGTTCCCCAGCCATGGATGAATCCCTCAGCCAAGGAGGGACTCCCCCAGCCATGAAGTGAATCCCCCAACCATAGAGTGAACTCCTCGGCCATGGATGATTCCTCAGCCATAGAGTGAATTCCCCAACCACAGAGTGAACCCCCCAGCCGGGGGTGCGACCCCAGCCTTGGAATACAGCCCAGCCATGGAGCGGCCAAACAGGGGCTGAGCTCTCCCTCCTCCCAGCCCGGACTGCGTTCCTCGGCCAGCGGTGACACCCGATGACACGCACACCCCCAGGTGATCCCTCCCCAGCCAGAAGATTATTCCCTCCCCAGCCGGGGGTGATCCATCTCTCTCTCCCCAGCCAGGCCACCTCAGGCCCTCACACAGCCGCCCCACCACAGGTACCTGCGAACCCGCTGTACGCGCCGCCGGGCCCGTAGTGCTTGCGGCCCCGCTCCACATCGAAGACCCGTCCCAGGAGAGCGAGGTAGAGCCCGGGCTCGCCCGGCGCCCCCCGGTATCGGCGCAGCTCGGCGGCGCTGAGCAGGCGGGCGCGGGGCTCGAACCCGCGGCGCAGGAGGCAGGCGGCGGCCAGGCCCAGCAGCAGCGCCGCGGCCGCGCCCCGCCACATCGCGCCGCGACAGCGCAACGCTCGCGCGACACTTCCCTCGCCGCACGGCAGCGTGGAGGCCCAACCGCGTCCAGCGAGGCGGCCGGCCCCAGAGGGCGCTTTACGGCAGTGTGGCGGCAGAGCCATGGAGCGCTCTGGGCTGGGAGGAGATGATTTTACATTGATTTTACACTGAAATAAACACGGGCAGGAGACCTTTCTCCTTTTTAATTCTACTCATAACAACACCGCCTCCCTCCAGCCCAGGCTGCTCCGAACCCCGGCCAACCCCGCCTCGAACACTCCAGGGACGGGGCGGCCACAGCTTCTCTGGGTGCCCTGTGCCAGCCCTCAGCACCCTCTGAGTAACGCCGTTGTTCATAAGAACCGTCACAGAATGTGAAAAATGCGTATTTTATGATTGGCTTTTCGCAAATATTAACATAAATATTATACGTGTTGTGTTAGAAGGTAATGCTGTATTAGTTCTCTTACGTAGTGTGGTAGATACAGCTTTAGGTTATAACAAAATATTAAAATAGAAGGAGTGAATCCCCCAGCCAAGGAGTGAATCCTATAACACCTTCTGGCTGTGGAAGGCTGTTCCACTACTTCTTTACAAGTTTTCCAAAAGTCCTACTTTACAATAAAAGAAATGTTTGACAATTTCACTGCTGCTTTTAAAAAGCTACAATAAAATCCAGCGTGGTAAACTTTGACTTGCTGATAACGCTAGTAAGTATCAAGAGGAATTACTCAGGCAGGATTTCCTACCTGTGTTAGAATATAGAATATCCTATAGATATAGAATATCCTATGCTATGTAGGATACTTTTTTCCTTAAAGAAAGGACTCACACTGAGATAACAGCCACAGGACACCTAAATATTTCAGAGAAAGGGAATTTATTGCTCCATTATCAGGAGAAATTAACTTCTTCCCGCCTCGCTCGGGCAGGTGATGCCGTCAGGCTTATGAGGAAGAAGTTGTCGATGTCCAGACAGAATCCTGTGTTTGAATGGAATTTATGCATCATGTATGAGGTGTATGAATATGCAACAGGCTATTGATTTTAAGGGTTAATCCTTTGTTAACGTGGGTCCTTTTTTGGGCTTGTGCTGCCCAGAAAAAGATACCTGGACATCCGTAACTCTTTGTTTCTATTGTCCTAATTCAAATTGTCCAAATTATTATTACTCTAATTGTATTACTATTTTTATAACCATTTTATTACTATTAAACCTTTAAAATTTTAATAACAAGTGATTGACGTTTTTCCCACAGAATCTCTTGTTGTCAGTGCCCTGTGGAGATCACCCAGTCTGACCCCAGCCAGGGCAGGGTCAGGTGGAGCAGGTGACACAGGAGGGTCTGGGTGAGTTTGGCATTTCTCCAGAGAGGGACACTCCGTGCCCTCCCTGCACAAGTGTGCCCCAGTGCTCTGCCACGCTCATGTCAAGGAGTTTTTCTCATGTTGAGGTGAAATTTGTCGTGCGGCCTTTACTCTTCATCCTGTCACAGGGCACCACGGAAGAGTCTGGCACCGCCCTATTGGCACCCCTTGGAGATACGTCTATGAATTAATGCGATCCCCTCACAGAACCGGGCTCAGTTGCCGCTCTCTGCCGCCGGGATCGCTGTCCCCAGCCCTCGCTGTCCCCCCGGGTCCCTCCACCGGCCCCGTCCCTGTCACGGCAGCCGCCGGGCCTGGCTTTGCGACAACGCCGTGTCGCTTTGCGGCGGTGCGGCGCTTTCCGGCGGTGTGGCGGGTGTCGCTTTGCGGCGGTGTGGCGGCCCCGCGCTGACAGGTGCGGCGGGCGGGAAGTTGCTGACTAAGGCGGGCCGGGCCGGGCGGGGACCGGCGGGAGCGGCGGCGGCACCGGCGGCGGCGGCTGCGAGCGGCTCCCGAGCGGCTCATGGGGACGGCGGCGAGCCACAGCAGCGAGGAGGAGGAGGAGGGCGCCGAAGAGGGCATGGAGGGGGCGGCCGGCGCGCCCCAAGCCGGCGCGGCCGCTCCGGCGCTGCCGCCGGCCGAGGTGCTGCTGGAGCAGGCCCGGCTGCGGGAGGCCACGGCGCGGCTGCGGGAGGCGGCCCTGCCCGAGCCGCTCGTGTCGCGGCACCACAGCGCGCTGGTGCGATGGCTGGAGGAGCGGCTGAGCCGCGGCGACGAGGCCGTGAGCCTGGAGCAGTTCTGCGAGGTGCTGGAGAGCGTGTCCCGGCTGGCGGCCGGATCCCGCGGCGAGAGCGAGGAGGTGAGAGCCGCCGGGAAGCGCCGTCCGCGGGGATCGGGAAAGGCTCGGGCAGGGAGGAACCTTGGGGACCATCCCGTTCCAGCCCCTGCCACGGGCAGGGACACCTTCCAACAGAGCGGGCTGCTCAGAGAGCCGTCCGGCCCGGCCTTGGGCACTGCCGGGAATGGGGGTTCCCTCCGGGCATCCGCCTGTCCGGGCAGGGGGGGGGGGGGTCGGCATCGGGGGAAGCTCTGGTTGCTGCTGGGGGCCGCTGTCCCCGGGCCCGGGTCCGTGACCATCCACACGACCCTGGAGACCCCGGACACGCATCCTGGTACGTGGGGAGGGCCAGGCCAGAGGGTTCTGCGAGGTTGGAAAGCGGCTGCTGCTGTTGATGGACAGCCTGTCAGCCTCCAGATAGCCCTTAAAAAAAACCCAAAAACTTATGTCAGTTATCAGTGATCATGCTCAGCAGCCACTGAAGAATAAAATGGGTTTTTACAGCAATATTTCTGCTGTTGCTGCTGCTGGTGCAGCTGAGAGCACAGGTGTGGTGGGGACACGGCTAGGAAATCCTGCCTGAGTAATTCCTCCTGATACTGACTAGCGTTATCAGCAAGTCAAAGTTTACCACGCTGGATTTTATTGTAGCTTTTTAAAAGCAGCAGTGAAATTGTCAAGCATTTCTTTTATTGTAGAGTAGGACTTTTGGAAAACTTGTAAGGAAGTAGTGGAACAGAGATCCCCTTCCACAGCCAGAACGTGTTATGGTCAGCTTTTAATGGTTGAAGAGAGTAGTTTTCCTTTCTGCTGGGATTTCCAGTTTTCCCCTTCTGTGGGAAATGATAGGGAGAATTTAATGTCTAGAACACTTAAGCTTTGCTCTGTAGCAATCCCAAATGCAGCAGAACACCCTGTTGGGAATTCCATACTCCCTTGAGAAAGTGGCTGTGTCTGAATTCCTTAGTGCAAGCAGTTCCTGAGCTCAGCAGTCACTTCCTGCTGGCTTTGTTTTGCTGCTGAGTAGCAGAACAACTGTGTAAACTGTTAAATCACACACACACGCCTCAAATCAGTGCTGACAGGTGAACAAGGCTTCTGGAAACTGGAAGGAGATTCATTTCATGTCCAGATAGGTGTGTTTTCACCAGACTGGTTTAAGTAGCTCGGTGAAATGCTGCCTCCACTTGCAGCTCGTTCACAAGAAGAGCCCGTAACGAGCACATCTTCATTTGTGACAGCAGCCAGGGTGAAATGGGTCCATTGGGCTTCTTCCTGTTGCCACAAACAGCTGGGCGTTGCGGGCTGCAGAAATATTTTGAGGATTGTCTGTATTTCACGTCCTCCTCTGCATGAGGAATCTATTTGTTTTGGTTTCATTTCCTGCTCCAAGGAGTGGGGAAAAAGCTTGTCAGAGGATTCAGCGTGCCACGGATGTGTGGTCACATCTGCCCTGCAAAGCTGAGATGTTGAGAGTTCTGTGGAAAACTTTGATGTCATCATTTCTGGCACTAACCCACGACTGTGGTGTTTGAGCTTTCCTTGCACACTGAGGAGTCAGTTTAGGAGTGGCAGGTCAATAGGTTTCACTTTTTAATATCTCTGGAGTCCTGTCTGGCACAGCCCAGGTTTGTTCTGCCCTTTCAGTTACTCTGTTCTCAGTGCAGGGCTTTCAGCACAGACTTCAAATGTTTTATAAACAATGTTTAAATGCAAAATCTGTTTGCTGTATGAACTGAACCTCTGAATCCTTCTTGGTACTGCTTCAGCAGTTGTCATGTCATGTATCCAGCTTTGGCTGGCAGCATTAACGCTGCAGTTCTTCTGAGAGCAGAGGGTGAAACATGAAGTTCTCCCAGGTCACCTTTCAGATACCCTGTTGTGCCATCCAGCTCCTGAGCTGTGAGATAAGGGGCTGGATAAGGGGCTGATTTTTCCATGGGTCATAATTCCAAGCAACCCTCTCACCCATCATTTCCTATGGAGGATGTTTCTCACATGCTTCTTCATGTTCAGGGTTGAGCTGTGTGGAGTGACTGCATTTCTTTAGGAGCAGGTTGAGGTGGGTTGTGTAAGGCTGCTGCTGAATTGTATCATGTCCCAGTCCTGCACACAGCTCAAAAATTCTTTGAGTACAGGTTGACACTCTCTTTTTTTCCCCCCACTTTTTTTTTCCCCCATTACATAGGACAGCAGTGGAAATTATGTATGGTTTTTGTCAAATACAGAGTTTAAGTTATAATGAACAGTTCATAATTTTAGAGTTCTAGGTTTGGTGCAATCTCCTGAGATCAGAGGAAGAGTTTAAAAATAAGATAACAAAATACTGCATTAAGCTGTGAAGAAAAGCATATATGTAGTAATCCCTCCTTATGTGAGAGTATAAAAAATTTGTTTCAAGCAGGTGTTAGCAGATTCAGCCTTGTTGCCTTGTGTTGTGTTTTATTGTCACCAGTAACATCACATTCCTCAGCCAAGGATGGAGGATGTTCAATTTGTAGTTTAGTAATTGTGCAGTTTCACTTCAGGTATGAGGAAAAATTGTGAGAATGGTGTGGCGTGAAACTGTACATTGAATTGTTTTGGCAACTGAGTTATGTCTGTTAGAATTAATTCCCTCTGATTTGTTGTCCTCAAGCAAAGGTGTTGGGTTTTTGTTCTGGCATCTGCCCAGTGCCTGGGCTGGACTGGCCCTGGTGCCTGCTGGATGCTCAGCACCAGCTTTGCTGCTCAAAATAATTGTTCAAAGGTGATCATTATTAGCTTGGGTTCAGCTGTGTGTATAATGAG